TTATTAATAAAACCTTCCGGATCATTTCTGAAACAATTTTAAAGTACAAAATGATGTGAAAAGCACTTACGGCCAAGTAATTCGAGAGCGAAAGCATACATCAAGTTGTAAAGGAACACAAATCCAACCAATGCTCCAAAGCCTAACCAATACCAATATGACTCTGTGAAGTACGAACGAGCCTCCAGATATCTAACTCCTAAATTGTAGGTAGCCTGTAATTGGAGAGTGGAGAAGTTAGAATCATACTTTTATTAACCAATAGTATACAAATTCTTAAGTTGCAATTTCGAGAAAATACGTTGTGCCAACTGTTTCCAAGAAATTCATTGGCCATCAAAGCACTTTGCGCATACATTAAAGGTGAAATCCAGAAACCCCAAATCCACCAGCTTTTTATATTATCTGTTTCATTGGCAATGAAATGTAGAAGCATTAGCTTATTCTTGTTCAATACGATAGAAACGCAACATTTTTTTTTTTGTCACACTAATACAGTACCCGTGCAGATGCACGAATTATCATTTCTTTTTCTAATTTTATCCAGTTATTAATTAATTTATATAAATATTTTTATAATGACATTTTAATTAAATCTAATTATTTAATAAACCATAAATGAGTTAAATGATAACGTAGTCTATCCAACACAATCTGTTTGTTATTTTTTCCTGTTTTATTTGCTTCCATGTTAGAAAACTATACATATTTTGTGTTTTTGTCCTAATCAATATCAAATACTAAATCTTGAAAGAAAAATTATTGGTTAAAGAAGTTAAAAAACGAAATTGAAACAAGAACGTCACTTTCGTAAGAGAAATTACATGATTACAAAAAGCTTATTTTAAATTTTACATACCCAAAAAAGAGGAATAATATAAAATAAAATAATTAATACAAATAATATAAATAAAAATTATAATAAAAAACTATTATCATAATTTAGTAATTTAGTAATGTAACGTGTGTTAATTGAACTTACCTTTTGACAGAACGAAGCCACCCAAAATAAAAAGCAAGAGAAGAGCAATGGATCCAACTGTGTTGGCGACAACCATGTTTCTACCAAGTGCTGCAATAACTCGGAATAATCCAGAAGCCACCTGGCTGACACTTAATAGCACGAGGTACTGCTTGAAGAACCTTCACAAAATTCAACAACTCGCATCATAAGTAACATGAAACTAGTGGAAGCAGCAATATTCACATGCTCCTAACTGATAAAATCATAATCAGTACCTCCCAGCATTTGGATCAAATCCAGTAGCATAGTAGGTGAGGAATACCCAAACAGCAACCTCCACTATCGAAATGGGAATCTTGAGAATCCATGAAGGAATAGCATATGACCAAGAGGGATAAAAGAGAAGGTCCCGTTGCTTGTAGAAAACAGGAAGCTTAGCAATAGACATAGAAATCTCAGACATTCCATTAAACATAATTGTTACTACTGAAAAAAATAGAGCACCAGCATAAACACCCGCATCATCTTGATTTTCATGATGCATCTCAGTTCGGAAAAAAAGTGTCAACGAAATAAACGCGGCGATGCAAAGCTGAAAAGCATCAAGAGCAAATCACAAGTCTTGAAAATAATCATATGAATGAAATATGTTGTATAGTTTTTATTGATGTAGAGCAAGGTAGAAGTCTAGAACCAACCTGACATAGCTTGAAGATGTAAACAAATGAATTCCTTTTCATGAGCAAATACTCTCTTGAGAAGTTAGCCTTTAACAGTTCCTTCTTGTTGATACCATACTTCTTAGTGGTTAATGCAGCAGGGTGGCTCTTAGTCTTGTCAAATGGAACAGCAAGCTCCTCTCCAAGTTTTCTACCAATGTGGAATGATTGAAATGCCTCAACAAATTGAGTGACAGTGACAAATCTGTATAGTTGATCTCTGCGAGCCCAATACTGTGCTTGATCTTTTTTGGAAGTCACTTCTTGAAGAAAGTCAGCAACACCTTTCCTCTCAGGACATCTGAAGCCCATAGATTCAAAGAAGTCAAGAACATATTCACGAGGGCCATGGTAAACAACTTGGCCATCCGAGATTAGGATAATGTCGTCAAAAAGGTCATAAGTCTCGGGTGCTGGCTGGAGCAAAGATATGACAGCAGTTCCATTTAGAATGTGAACATATTGCCTGAGAGAGCTGACAATCTGGAATGTTGTGGAACTGTCCAAGCCTGTGGAGATTTCATCCATGAATAGAGCATTTGCTGGTCCAACCAACATCTCTCCGGTAGTCACACGCTTCCTTTGTCCTCCAGATATCCCACGCAGCATTTCATCTCCCACCAAAGTATCGGCACATATATCCAACCCCAAAATCTGCCACATTAATAAGTTAAATAATTCAATAACTTGGCTTTCATAACAAACTTTCGCGCATATCATATGACACAATTGATCTGAACCTTGTTTAAGCATTACCTTCAGTGTATAATCTGTTACTATGCTTGTCTCCTGGCCTTCAGCTGCAGATGCCTGTTGTATCAAAAGATAATCAGAGATAGTATATTGATATTTTTTTTTTTGTTTTATTATTTTACTGAAATAAAGATTAATAAGAGCTTTTTCTTCTCACCTTCATGTAGACATCAAGATCTGGGTCAGGCTTGATATTTGCTGCTTTCTCTCTTCTAGACAACTCAGATAGCATGTCTGTGAATGCAAAAAAATTATGAGTAGTTGATAACCTACATTTTGTAGTAGTTTAGGGGTAATTATGTGGTATCTTTATGCCTTTGAGTTTAGTTTGTGTTCATGTTTGTTAAGTTTTCAATAAAAGCTTGGTTTATTTAGGATTTTCTAGCTTATACCTTTTATGCTTGATCTTCGGGTTGTTTACTTGTGGTTTATATGAACTTTGTTGAAGTTCTGATCAAGCAATGGAGATGTCCCAAGAGTAATTTTATGTGTTAAGGATCATTTGGGTTAAAGTTTAGCGTTTTGGAGGTCTTGTGGGGGCCAAAAAAACTTGTTGGAAGTACTAGAAACTTTTCACACCTGTGCAAGCAAATCACACTCCTATTGCGAATTTTTAATTGCTGAATTTTGAAGATGCGCGAGTTGCATACCTATGGGAGGAATCCATACACTTGTGCATCTTTCCCTGTGAAATTAACTCCAATTTTCTGTTGTTTTCTTTTTGGCTTAAAACCTTATTTGCCCATAACTTTAAATAGAGATCTTCTTTAGCTTAGGGTTTCGAACATTTTGAAGCATATAAAGCAAAGAGATCGAGACATTGGGTGACAACTTTGATACTTAGGGTTTCATCTTCTTTTTCAATTGTTTTTTTAACATTATCTATCTATTTATATACTTAAAATTAACACTATCTATTTATTTATTTTTTTATAAAAAATAAATTATATTCTATTACATTGATACATTATAAAATTAATTTTATATGTTATTATGTCAACATATTTATTTATGTAATAAATTCTCTAATCATATTTTTTTTTATTTTTTATATAGTACATCTTTTCAACATTTTATTTAATCTAATTCTTATTTTTTTATTGTTTAATTTTTATTTACAAATAAAAGTTGAATTACATTCTATTACAAACAATAAAAACATTTTTTTTGTCAAAACTATAATGTGTGATAATTTAAAATTACGTTTAATATGTTCCTATATGAATTAATGATTTTATTAATTAAGAGATTATATTTTGTTAAATTTTCAGTTACAAATAAATTAATTTTATAAATGAAGCAATATTAATTAATATTAATTGTAGATTAAAACATTTGATCATTAATTTACTACGTAAGAAATTTAATTCGAATAAATCCTCCGTTTCAAAAAAAATAATAAATGTTATTATAATTAATATTAATATTAATGTTAATTATAAATCATTATTAAAAAAAATTCCAAAATCTAATAATTATTATTAATTGACATTTATGCTCATTAATAAGAAAGGTAATAAATTTTTTATTAATATTAATTTTAAACAACAATTAAAAAAGATTTGGCTTACTCATTTGAAAATAATAAATATGTATATTCTTTATTATCAATTTATTAATTTAATAAAATATTAAAATAGACTATTTTATAATTTAGTTATAAAAAATTATGTATTTGAACATATTACCTATAGTTATGAACTTTTTAAAAGATTATTTACTTGAATCTTATATTTTAATCTATTAAAAAAATAAAGGATGAAATATTATATAAATATAAATATAAATATAAAAAATATTCATAATAATATTTTTTATTTACAAATCCTATTACAAACAATAATAAATTCATTTTTTGTAAAAAATTAATAACAAATTTATATTACATGATTAAAAAATTTATATATAAAACTTATAGATTAACTAACAAAATAATATATTTTTAATTTAAGTAATTTTTTTTATCTGCACATCGTACGTGTCTATGTCTCTTTTTTTTTTTTTGGATACTCAAATTTTTGTAGTTTATATAATTATGTTATTAATTTTCTAATTATTGCACAAGCTTACGTGAAGACGACTTTGCTTATCACTAGTTTATTTGAGCGATTTGGTTGTCAAAATCCCAACAGTAATCATGCTTAGGTTACATTCATCTTAAATTAGATTTGAAAATGTTAGCAAGGTGCAGTAAAGATGGACAAACCATATCGTGATCCAACCCCTTGGAACCTTGCTGAGAAAGCCAAGGTTTCCCTCACAGTCATTTCTCCAATATGAACATCATGCTGGCTGATGTACGCAGCAGTTCTCTGAGGCACAAACTCATTCATTCCATGCCCATTGTAAGTCACTATCCCAGATACCTGAACAACACATTAATTAGTATCTACATTAGATTTTCTTTTCTTTTTTAAAAATAAAAGTGACCAAGAGAAATCCATTTCACCTTAAGACTTTTATCAAGCTTTCCTGACAAGGCCAAAAGAAGTGTGGTCTTTCCAGAACTTGGAGGACCTAAAAGCAGTGTCATCCTGCGAGGTTTAATAATCCCACTAACATCCTTAAGAATAGTCACCTGTTTCTTTTTGCTTGGAGTAATATGGAGAAAATTCAGAAATCCCTGGAAGACCAAAATAGTGATGAGACTAACTACAAAACAAAAAATAATTAAAAATAAAAAATTTTACTCTTCCCTACCTCTATGACATTAGTAATAGAGTTGATGAAAGAGGGCAAAGCTCTACTTCCCACAAAAGCCTGTGCTTGAATATTAAGGTGCTGATATCGAACTTCAATTGTTGGAACATCAAGTCCAACTCTATAAGAAACATAGAAGGATGAGAAAAGGCATGAGAGTTGGAAGAAGGCTACTAGTTATGAATTGATGAAGAGGTTGTATGAGTATATATATATATATATATATATATATTGAGCTTTAACAAGAACTTCCCATTGTCCTCTTCGGCCACTTTGACAAACTTGTCAAGAAGTCTCTGTCTTTCTTGGAAGCCAAGATTAGTGACGTCGATTTCGTTGGCAACACCATGGGATGTGGTTAACAAGCCTTTCTTGAGACGGTTGAAGGTAGGGAGCTTCTCAAGTGCAGCCCATTTGAGAGCTTCTTCATCATCCTCTTCGCGAGTAGACTTTGAGAATACATCAACGCCACTGTTTCTCCGAACTGTTGAGCTTCTTACTCGCAAACTGTTACTTGCTCGGTATATATCACCTCCCTCCATTGTTTTTGTGGCCTTATGCAGCCACCTTGCTTCTTGTTCGGCTTATATAAGAAAACAAACAAGACTGTGAGCTAAAGAATCAAAGAATATCAAAAGCGAATGTGTCTTCGTGTTTTTCTTCGAGAAGATGGCAATGAGTTCGAAATGGAAAAACAAGTCTCGTATGTTCACATAAAAATAAAATACAAGTATAAGCATTTTTTATTTTTCTTTAACACTAAAAGAACGTAAAAATATATTTTTCTCCTTATTATAAAAATTCATAATGATTTTTTGATTTACAAACTGTCCATGAAGCTGAAACTTTAAGGTTTGAGAAAAAAAATAACTATAAAAGGATAGTCTCTGCCAAAAATTTTAGGGAAACTAATTTTTGTTAAAGTCGTAAATTGGTACCAAAAATAAATAGGTAACTAATAGTTATTTAATTTTTAAAAAACCAGTCAATATTTTTCTTTCAAAATAATGATCTTCTCGATTGGACACGATTCGAAAGAAACTTCTCTTATTGAACTCAATTACATAAAATATTGATGTTTCATGTTTGATTTAAAAAGCGTTATCAGCAACATTCATGTGAAAATTGAGTTATGCGACCAACCTATAAAAAAAATATATATATATATAATTATGTTTATGAATTTTTTTACTTTGGATATTAATTAGATTTTTACTAAGGAATATTTTTTAAATAATCGTTTTTATCTCTTTTTTTTTTTTTTTTTGTCATCCAATTATACAATAACTCCTTATAATAGAGAATAAAATGAAGAAAATATACACATAAAAAATGTAACTGTCTATTAAATGCAAAGTGCCTCTACTTCTTTAATTTTAATATACGCGAATATAATAGAATAAACTCCATATCTTCTGTACAAGTTTAAAACGAATTTTCACAATAATATAAGTGAAAAAAAATATTTATGTAATAAAATGATGTGCTATTATTTTATTTTAGGATTTAACTTCTCTAATAAAGTGAATTTATAATTTTTATTAAAATATTAATGATTAAAAATTGTAATAAAATTCATATATAATAAAATTTTAAATTAATTATAATATTAACTAATAATTTTTTTATTAATTACACTTTTGACCTCCTTATAAACTCTAATCCACAATTTTAGTCTCGATATTTTAAAATTATACAATTTAGTCTCCTTCATTTATTGACTTAGTTGATTGTTAGAAGCAAGTACATGGATTTAGATCTTGGAATAGCTTGTTAAACTTGCAAATAATAGGTCCTTTTTTCAAACCCATATTTGTTTAATTTTTTAGCATGGTCCTGAAGTTCACAAACTTGATAGACTTAATTTATAGGTTAGCTTGTGAACTTTATTAATTAATTTTTAAGATATTAAAACTTTAATATTTGATTATGTATTTTGAACTTAAAAATTATTCACATTAAAAATATGTTTAATTAATGTGTATTTTTTATTTGGATTATGTTTAAGATATTTTGATGTTTTTATTATTGAGAGTTTGAAACAATTATATAAATATTGGTAATAATTTTACTCCTAATATTTTAATATTTAGTGTTTAAGACCATTATAAATGTTGGTATATTTTAGTGTGATAGATTTTAGTTTAGAAATACAAGGAATTTTATTTTCTTCTAATTTTATGTATTTTTATTTTTTAAAAAAATAATTTTCAGATGATCATTTAGACCTAAGGACTAGTTTATGTCCACGGGTTTTGGCGGACTGGATACGCACTTGAAAAAAATCATTAATTTTATTGATAGAATTTATCCAATTTATTTAAAATCGAGCTTCATGTTTCATTAATCAATGATAAGGTTAAATTAATCTTACATATTGTATTGATGGTGATATAACGACTTACATGAATCGATGAAATGACACTTTAATGATAATGTAACGTTGAATTGAAAAAATAAATATAATTTAGAAAATTAGTAAAAAGATGACTAAATTAAAACACACATAACTTTCACTATATACTAACTCAATTTTTTCATAACTTGAAAATTGTATTATATATAAGATTATTTCTTGAGTTAATTACTGATAGGCACTTTTTTAAATTCCTTTTCTAATACTAATCTAGTTTAAAATTAACAAATGATAAAATTGTTTAATAAAATAATAATTTTTTACTAATTAGTTATATAATTTATTATTTAATATAATTTTATACAATATAATATAAATTTTATAATATTAAATAAATAATATAACATTATTGGTCTAACATAAAAAAGATAAAAACATAGCTAAAAAGAAAATAAAAGACAAAATATAATTGTATATTTATAAATTTCAGAAAAAACAATGCGCCCGTACCATGTTCAGTACACCCGTACTAAAATCAGGGTTATGAACAAAATTACAACTCAATA